CCAATACCTGGCTACTGAGTTTTTTATAAATAAGACTATTTAAGATTCGTGTTACAGGTGTTTCTCATACTAAGTGAGGAAAAATCCAATCATTTCTTTTTATAAATTGAAGTTTCTTGCTTCTGGGATATTTGTTGCTAATATCTCCCAAGAAATGAGTGCAAGCTCTTAAACAACGTTGATTTTCTGTCTATTTGGAGGCAATTTCAGCATATTAGTAGAAAGCACCACAATTCCTGGTGGGTCTATTCCTGCTCATTGTTGAAGTTTTAATTTTTGTTTCAAAATTAATTCTACATAGGCCTTTAATTTTTTACCCTGTTTTTGTGGCAAGAATATCCATTCTAAGATATTATCTTCTCTGTGTATAAAAAGTTTTGTGGGAGAAAGCACATAAATTACAATAACAAGAATAAAATCAAAGGCTGGACAGTGGTGGTGCACACCTTAATCCCAGCACATGGGAGACAGAGCCAGGCAGATCTCTGTGAGTTCAAGGCCAGCCTTGTCTACAGAGCAAGATCCAGAATGGGTATCAAAACTGCACTGAGGAACCCTGTCCAAAAACAAAACAAAACAAAACAAAAGAATACAATCAAGTTCTGAATCCAAAGGATTCAGAATTACATACTGTAATTGCTTTTCTACCAAAGCCAATTCCTGTTCAGCCTCAGCTCATAATTATCTTGGACTATTTAAGGCTTTATCTCCTTATAAGGTTTGAACTATTTTTTTTAGTTCTTTAGAAGTTAATCCAATTGTGGGCTGTAGCCAATTGCTATCTTCTGGCAATTTTTGAAAATCATTAAGCCAGCCAGCCATTATACAGTCTTTTAATCCCAGCACTGTGGAGGCAGATGAAGGCAGATCTATATTGAGTTGGAAGCCAGCCTGGTCTATAGAGTGAGTTCCAAGACAGGCTTCAAAAGCTGCACAGAGAAACCATCTCTTGAAAAAAAACAAACAAACACACACACACACACACACACACACACACACACACACACACACACACACCAAAAAAGAAAGAAAGAAAGAAAGAGAAAAAGAAAATCATTAAGAGTTCATAATGTGTCTCCCCAAGTTTGTTTATTCTGTGATTGAATTTTTGTAAAACTATCTTATATCTTAGGTATTTAGTAGAATCTCCAATTTGTGTTTTTTTCAGAAGCAATTTGTAATCTCAAGAGCAGATTTTTCTTTAGCTCTTCATATATTTTTAAGGTATAGTACTCTGATCACTAGTAAGATCTCATCCATGTAATGGTTAATTATAAGTTGAGGGAACTGTTTACAAATTATTTCTAATAGTTACTGTATAAAATAATGGTACAACATAGGGCTGTTTAGCATCCCTTGTGGAAAATATTTGCACTGATACATTTTAACAGCCTGGCAATTATTATTATTAGGCAAAATGAAGGCAACTTTTGTCTATCATATTTTTGTAAAGATACAGAAAAAAAAGCAGCCTTTAAATGAATCACCATAATAGACTATGGAATTCCAGGCTGTAAAGTGACCATTGGCTAGATCACTTTATTTATGTGGCTCTTAAATCTGATAATATTCTCCATTTTCCAAATTTCTTTTTAATGACAAATATAGGAGCATTGCAAGGAGTAGTCAATTTTTTAATATGTTGAACATTTAATTGTTCCTGTATTAATGTTCTATTTTCTGGATTTTTCAGATGTCAAATACCATTGCACTACCCAGACAGGTTTCTCACTTAACCATTTTAAAGGTTGGACTATTAATATCTTTGAATGATCAGGAGCTGTTTTGCCCTGCTTAATAACAAATAAAGGACAATTCCAGGGTCTGGTTGATTCTTCAATATGCTGAGCATTTTGTTGCTCCTGTATCAGCTATTTTAAGGCCTGCAATTTCTCTGATGTTAAAGTCCATTTCTGAACCCATGCAGGCCTGTCAATTAACCATTTTAAAAGTAAGATGGTTTGTGCCTTTTTCTTGGACAACTCGGAAGGTCAGTGACTGTTCTTGATATTTTTGATATTTTTCTCAGAAGTATACATTAGTTTATGGTTTCTTCCTGAGATTGGTGGAATGTTATTCTGGGTTTTCCACTGCTGTAATAAATCATGTCCCCATAAATTCATTGCTATGTTAGCTTCAAATGTCTTAATCTACCTACCTGTCCTTCTGGCACCATACACTCAACCAATCCTATACTTTGCTAACCTGAAATAGTTTCAATTCTTAGAAACTGAACATTTACCTCCTCTTTCCACCATAATTTCCATTGTAACTGATAACCAGCTTCCAATATTGCTGTAGCTAAATCTTTCCTGTCTTGTGGAATAAGTCTGTTCTGAGTTGCCCAAGAATTTAATTAACATCTGTTTCACAAAAGGTGAATACATACCATATGAAACTACTCTTTCCTTGAATCTTTTCCAATTTAACATTTCTTAGGATCCCAGATAACTTCTGAAGAGCCTTGAGGGTACATATAATCTGGTGATCATTCTTGAATGGTAACTGGATAAATTAAGTTTGATTTTCTAATAACATAATGTTCCTCTTCAGTTTCATAATACAATGTTATGGTAGGTTCTGTTCTAAATTCTTCTGTCTGTGCATGTGTATTCTTCTTAGTTTTATTAGTATGTCTTTCTAAAGATTGTGTCTTATCAGTCATTTTTTCATATTTGATACAGATATCAAACCCCCCTTTTAAGGATAAAACATGAATTACCAAGATGACAAAATTATAATTAACATTATGTCAGTTCCAGCTAAGTTGATTACCCCTTCAATTAATTTTTCAATTTTCAATGCATTCATTGTGGAACCATGCAGAAAACCTAACTCCATGCATAGTCATATAGTTTCCCATTTGTAACACTGGGAAAAATCTTTTTTTTTAAACAAATTCCCCTTTTAGGAATTACCAGTTTACTCAACAGATCTGTTGACAACAATAAAGTGTGAGGCTAGCTGATCCTGTGCTGTACAGCTGGGCAGAGAATGAGAGCATTGCATGGCTTGGCCAAGGGCAACTGCAGCTACTGCTATGTAGCTGGGGGCTGAGAGTGTGTTACAGTGGCAGCAGCAGTAAAAGTATGAGTATGTGTTCAGGTGGCCTGCCTGGCATGGCAGCAGCCCAAAAGGGGGATCTAGGAGAAGCCTGCAACCCAAAGGGAAAGGAAGCAAGGCTGAAAATTGTTCATGAGGAGGTATGGAAGAAGCCCACATGGTTACAAGTGAGGGCACAGGGGCTGCCTGAAGGACAGAGAAGGCTGGCAGTGGGGTCTAACACAGGCAGTGTTTAGGGCCCAATTGCCTGTGGCATTCAGATCTGAGGCCTGGTAGCAGATGGAAGTTTCATATATATATGAAACATAACCAAATGATGACAGTGACAAATAAATGTGGAGATCATTTGAAGGTCTCCTATGTAAATATTTTAGTCATGATGTTGGAGATAAGACTTAGTGATTGTGATCACTGGTTTGTATTCCAAGGAATATGGGTTTGAATCTCAGCACCAATACTGCTGGTATCCAGCTTCAGCAGGGTTGAGTTCCCAGTGAGAAGGTATGGAGTAAAGTTGGCAAGAAAAGTAGACTAACACAGTCTGAGGGTGCATCAGGAATGCTGCCTTTTTCATGTTTTCGTTTTGCTTTTATCAACTTGACACATGATAGAGTCACCAGAAAAGAGGAAACCTAAACTGAGAAAATGTCCAATCAGATTGTCATAGGTGCAAGCCTATAGTACATTTTCCTAATAGATTATTGAAGTGGGAGCACCCATATAACAGGGGGTAATGCCACATCTGGGCTGGTGGACCTTAGTTGTAGCCAGAAGTTTTCTGTGTCGCTCCTGGTCTGCAGCCGCTCAGACCCAAGTAAACATACAGAGGCTTATATTAATTAAAAGTGCTTAGCCATTAGCTCAGGCTTACTACTGACTAGCTCTTACACTTAAACTCAGCCCATTTCTATTAATCTAAATGTTGCCACATGTTCTGTGACTTTACCTATGTGCCATTACATGCTGCTCCTTGGACAGCAGGCTGGAATCTCTTCACTCAGCCTTCTTCTTCCCTGAATTCTCCTTGTCTGCTTATTTTACCTATACTTCCTGCCTGGCTACTGTCCAATCCGTGTTTTATTAAACCAGTATACAAAATCATTATTCCACAGAACTTAGTGTTAAAAGAAATCAGGCTAAGTATTCAAGGAAGATCAAGGTAGTAAGCAGTGTTATTCTATGGACTCTTCATCAGCTCCCCCCTCCAGATTCTTTTTCTGTTCAAGTTGCTGCTTTAACTGCTTTTGATGATGAAATGTGATATGGAAATATATAAAAAAAAATGCTCCTTTGCCCACAAAAAACCCACTAAAAGTAATTGTTCATTTTAAGACACAAAGACATTTTAAAGATCACTGTTTAATATTCCTTATTTCTATAATTTTAAAGATTTATTTTCTTTTTAATGATATGTGACTTTGTATGTGCATTCTGTACTAAGTACTCATTTACACTTTATACGTTATGACTTAATTTAAGTGTATCAGAGTGATGTTTTGCTATGGCCTTATAAAGGATTTTCAGTTATGTTAGGACCTCAGGCAGTCTATAATTCTAAGTAGTTTTCTAGTGCCAATATGACTATCAGAGACATTGACAAGAGTAGTAATTTCCTCTCACTACAATTCAATGGACTCATAGAAAGACTTCTTGTAGCTTCTGACTGTCAGCACAGTGTCCAATGAAGAATATTTTATCCACTTTTTTCTTATCATGGGCTAAAGCCACAGCATGTAGAAGAAAAACAATAAATGGTGCTAGAATTGAGCATAGATTCCTTTTCTAGCCTCTATGACTGATAAATGTATGGATTATATAGTTCCCATCCTTAGTTGTCCTCAGGTAAATATATCAGTGTACAACAAGCTTCTAATTCAATTTTTGCATGATTTTTATATAGAGATATAACTAATTGTATGCTATATCTTAATTTTCAGACAATGTACAACAGATCTCTTCAGCTCCTGTATATGTACAAGTTTTTAATATTAATGACCATGCTCCTGAGTTCTCTCAGTACTACGAGACTTACGTTTGTGAAAATGCTGAATTTGGTGAGGTAAGATAAAAGACTAGATCAATGTAGCCCAAGCAACAGAGCATTTCTTATGCTATTCTCTCTAAATATAATATATAATAATTGCTAATACAAAGCATTATTTTTATATTACCTTAAGTAAATCATATGTTGTATTCATTGCATTGCATGTGTAAATATGCTATATAAAATTTTATTATGTTTTCTCATTTTGAAATTTTAAAGAATATAATATTATATTTCTATATGTCTTCAGTGGTATTTTACTTCATAAAAATCTTAAATTGTTATCATGAACAAAGCAATCTATTTTAAGAGAGGTAGAAATAACTGCTTCAACAAAAATTATTATTCCATAGTAATCCTTTTATTTCAAATTTACCAATGTTTCATTCTACTACATTAAAATATGGTATTTAATGATTCTAATGCAATATTGTAATAAATAATAAAATATACCATGTGTAAGTATGACAGAAATAACTCATTTAAAGAGATGAAGCTATTTAATTTTATACACAGTATATATACTTACATACTATATTATATATGCTTTTTTAAATTTTGTTTTGCTTTTTCGAGAGATGGTTTCTTCGTGTAGTTTTGGTGCCTGTCCTGGAGCTCTCTCTGTAGACCAGGCTGGCCTTGAACTCACAGAGATCTGCCTGGTTCTGCCTCCCGAATGTTGGGATTAAAGGCCTGCACCACCACCACCTGGCATATATACTTATATAGTCATATATTATATATAATATATGTTTACATGTTATATATTAGTATATATATTTATTTATATGAATATTAAGTATACATATTTTAATACACACAGAAACATAGGATAGTTTGACACATCAGCAATGTTTTCACCCAAACTTACTACAGTGAGACTAATAGGCACAAAAATTATCTTGTCTTCCTTCCAGAATTCTATCTCTCAGGGGCCAAACAAGTACATATGTGTGATGAATATGGAAGAATAAAGAGAGATGCAGTGCATGAAAAATTTCTAAAATATAAATGTTTTAGAGCAATTGTAGTCCCTAAAAACTGAGTTCAATGATGTGTAAGAGGGTACAGTGATTGCCAGAATAAACTTAGGATCTGTGTAGCACATCATAAATGACTTGAACTGGAAAAAAGAATTTAGAATTGTATTCTAAACACAAATGACTCATAAACAGCCTGACTGACAAGTATTAAGAAATAATGTGTTGGTTATAAGTTCTGCCCTAGAAGCTATTGGAAAAATGATATATATCAGTGGAGATTGAGAAAAAGGATCATGTAAAAATAACTGTAGCAAGAAAAGGGTTCTATGCTTAACATGGAGCAAGAAATATAAAGCATAGACATGCAGACATTTACTTACTGATTTTGTGTTTAAAGTTTAATACAGGATTGTCAACTGCTATCATTATCTCATTTAATTATAAACATTAGTTATTATGATAGTACATATTTATGTTTTATAAGTGTTGAATGAAGAATCATTTCTGATATAAATCTAGGAGTCCAAAAGAAAAACTGTGAATAGAATATTTAGGGAAAATTCCATTAACATAAGACTATTTTAATGAAGTTCTGAAATGGAAAGAGAAAGGAGTGAGTGTATTGAACTTCAAAATTATCCAGGGGAGTGGCAGAAAAAGTGACATTGGCCTGATACTGACAGTGGTTAGAGTCGATAGGCAGCTAGAGCAAGGGACTGTCCAATGTGTTTAGAGCAGAACCAACACTGAAAAGAATCAGTAGGTCTCAAAGAAATAACAGAGTACAAGCCATGGTAGTTTACGAGCTTAACACTAGATTTTATTTTATATCTCTCTGAATAAGCTCTGAAATTATTAAAACATTTAAACAAGAATAATGGAAAGATTTCATATGGTTTTCTGGACACATACTTACATGCTGACATGAATAGGAACACATCCATAGTAAGACATCCCTTCCAGTTATCAGATTACAAGGCAAGAGAGGTTGAGGTCTTACAACATGAAGGTATCAAAGGCAGTAGTGGAAGCAACAGGATCCTTGACATAATTTGAGAATAGAAATTTTGTAAGAGACTGGAATCATGCTACAGTTAGAAAAAGTGAATTATGAATACATTCTAATGTTTCAGCCAATATATCTGTAAGAAACAAATGTGTTTTGCCAGGTTGAAAAAAATACATGGAAGAAACAAAGTAAAGAAATGAAGATTAGATCTGTGAAATTTTAAATTGTTGTGTAGACTCCTGAACATCAATATACAATTAAAAGGAAAAGTCCTTGCTTGACATGATAAATTTGAATGTATCAGTCATCTGTGAGATATTAAAGACAGTGTTGTCTAGAGACTAAGAAGACAGGGATGAAAATATTTGAAAACCTAGGGAAATAGAGAGTCTGGTAACCTAGAAACCACATAAAGGAGTCTGTGGAGGAGGAGGAAAGTGCCTTCATTTAAATCTCCTGCACATGGGTCAGGGAAAGAAGTAAGTTCCTATTGAATTCAACAATGCATATTTTACAAATTTAAAATAATTATAGTTAACAAATGATGCAATAGAAATACCTGATATCTGTAATTAACAAATGACACTGTCTCGGAAAGAAAATAATAGAACTGGATAGATGTTGTAATGGGTAAAGTTTTTTGATAAGCTTATAATTCACATTCTATCACAGGGACACATATTCACCTTCAAATGTATGCTATGACATGCATACTCCACACAACGAATAAATATAAGTAGTAAGATTGTGAAGGTTATATTATTTGAAAACAACAATATTTATTGATCAAATAAAGGAAGAACTCTAAAGAAAACTGAGAAGATGAGACAACTTATGAGAGGCATTTAGGTCTTTAACATTATTGCATCTCACCAACATCAATGCCTAAACATGAACCAACAAGGGTAATAATAATAGGCAAGCTGACATGGACAGGGAAATGTCCATAAAGACTGCACAAAGGACTATAGTTAGCAAAGGAATGCTGAGAGACTCAGAATATTTGCCCTCAGGGAAGAGCACGCTGGCCTACTACCTGATTCTTCAGTTGACACTGAAAGACATTGTACTTTCATATTTCCAAATATATATACACATATACATAGAAGTCTGTAACAGCAAAGATTGAAAAAGGAGGCAATAAATTTTAATTTATATGGGAGAATTTGGAGGGAGGAAAGGGAAGGAAGAAATTATGTAACACATTACAAAGTTTTTGTACCTTTGGCCTCCAGGCTGTTGCACCTGGATTCTGCTCCCCTCCCATTCCCCACAAGGCACAGCTCAATCTTGTCATGTCCACTTTGGACTCTTCCAGATATCCATGCCTCTGGCTATGCTCTCCTAATTAATCTACAATAAACTCTATCCTCTTCCATACCTAGGAACAGTCATGTCCTTTCCTTTTCTCTTTATTTCTTATTTTCATTCCCTTTTAAAAAATATTTCTAAATATTTCACATTAAATACTATGTATTTACCATATTTACATGAATTTTCATCATAGAATTCAAAAATAATTATAGACAGGAAATCCAATGTATCATGTAAGGGGAACTTAGACAAAATTCTGTCCAGAGAGCAAAGAGAGCTATCAAAACTGGTTATAGTCTGAGATTATTTCTATTACTTGCTTCCTAAATCCATGAATAGTTTGTTTACATTTTAAATCTTATAATTTGTTACTGACAATCACAATAATTTTGAGGCCCTCAATAAGCCTGACTTAGCTAAATATAATAGCTTAGATAATTAATGAACTCTAAGCAACAGCACATTGTTAGATTTATCTGCACAATGAAATGCATGATTTCCATTGTTAATTTTTTTAAAAAAAGTAATATGATCATATGAATGTCTTAAAGAGTTCTTTTTTAGTAAATCTATATATACTCAAATTTTAATGTATTGTTTTAATAGTACCTCAGATATATTAAGGACTGATTATGTCAATGGGTTCCTATTTTTAAAATTAATGAAATGACATATATCTTATTGCTAATCCACCTATGAAGCAAATATAAATGCATCTATTTTTTAAAGTGACCTATTTTATTTATTTGTAATATGAACAGTGCATTTTTGTTAATTTTAATTAAACATATTAGAAAATACATATAAAATCAAAGGCTTTCATCTTCTGAAGCATTCAGTTACAAAAAGGAAATATTTTTCAAACAGTTTGTGTTTACCAAACAACTTCACATTGAATGATTGACAATATGCAAGCCATCAAGGTAAATGTGGCTTTTATGATTTGTTATTTATCTTGCTTTACTTCAACAAATACAGACAGTCAGTGTGATCAGTAATGATCTGCAAAACCATCTCATGCTAATCTCACCAGAGAAAGTTTTCTTCATGAGGACATAATAGAATTGTAGAGATGTTCAAAAGCTCTCTAAAAAGCTAGTCCAGGTAAGCCTACAAAGGAATGTTTTATGTTCAAACATAGCCAAGTGTTTGAGTTTAGAGAATTTGCAAGTAGCACAATATGGACTAATAATAACTCCTGTCCTCATTAACCTAAACAAAATCATAAACTATATTAAAATAAAAATACTGCCTTACTATCATGTAATACCCAATTTATTACCATAAGCATAGGTTGAATAAAAATTTTCTTTCTATCATATATTTATATAATTATAATTTAACTAAAAGCAAATTATTAGGAAAGTAAAAATCAATATGGGCATATAATCTACAGATTGCTACCAATTCATAACCCTTTGTTTTGCACTCATGTGGAAAAGTAACTGTTATTAGAAGTATAACTTGCCAATTTGGATCTTTCATCTTACACTCAAGTAAAGTTTTGTTTGAAACACTTTGAAAAAGAATTTTGTTTATAGAAAGTAGAAAATAATAAGTATCATAATCAATTTACTTTAATTTTCATAATTAATCACAATCTCACTGTGTGATCATGACTAGTTTATCTTTTTTCTGAATGTAATGAACAAATTTATGTCTTGCCATAAAATAATTAAGAACTGATTTGATTGTATCTGCATTTCTTTACAGTTTTATGATTTGAGATTCAGAGTGACATTTATTTGATTCTGCATGTTTGCGTATAATCTTTGTGGGTCAAAGGGAATCATACATTGCCTGTAAACTTTAAATGTACTGTTTCTGAAAATCAATTACAAAACTAACTACATTAATAACAAAAGCTAATAATTCTAAAAATGTGTATGAACAGGAAGTCAATATCATCATAATTGCATCTACAAATCATAATAGCTGGCTATCAGATGAAGATTAATAATAAAGAATGAAGTAAAGAAGAAAGAAATCTAGGTATTTTGCAATATCTCTAATGATGTTGATAAATTGGTTTTACGAAAAAGTACATGTGATAATAGCATTTGTAGTTGAAAGTTTTTCTATGTTCTGCCCAGGCCTGCAGCTACTCAGACCTAAGTAAACACACAGAGGCTTATATTATTTTCAAACTATGGCCGTGGCAGGCTTCTTGCTAGCTACCTCTCTTACCTTAAATCAGCCCATTTCTATAAACGTGGCTTGTGGCTTACATCTTGCTTCTCCTGGTGGTGGCTAGCAGAGTCTGCCTTGCTTCTCCTTTCTCTTCCTGTCCATCTGTTTGGATTTCCTGCTTGCCTCTAAGCTGCCTTGCCAAGGCCAAATGACTTTATTTATCAACCAATCAGAGCAACACATATTCAAAACATACAGAAAGACATCCCACAGCACTTTTTCTGTACAATCAAAAAGGAAGATTTTAACTTTAACATAGTAAAATTACATATAATAGAACAATTATCAAGCAAGAATCACAGTTACAATATCCAGTCCATTTATATTTGGCAAATTGAAAGAAAATATTCTATTTATCAAATATTTGTGAGTGCAAGTTTTCATGTCTAACTTATCTCTTATCATAACCAAGAAAAACATTAATTACAACTATCTAGTTTTCAATTATATCAAAGACCTCAAAAGGATACAATATTACTTAAGTAAGCAGGAAGAACATTGTAAGCAATTTCCAAAAAAGTATAATGACAGAGACAGCTCGGTGCCTAGACAGTCACCCAAAGTTCCTTTGCAAAGTGTGGGCAATCTTCTTCAGCCTATAGGCCTAGAGTCTCTCAGTTACTTCTCTCTGTGTCCTATAGAATTTCTGGCAGGTTTTTTTTTTTTTGTGAAGCTGAGTAACTATCTCAAATTGCAAAGTTCAGGGGTCACCTTCCTATGGGTCTTACATGTCCAGTTTATACAACATACTGTCCATCAGTCAAAACAAGGGCACTTTTTCACCAAGTGGCTAACTTTTGCCACAAAGAAAGCAAACTCCATTTTTGGAGCAATGACCATCATTCTCCTTGAAATAATTGGTCCTGTCAGGAGCAGATCTGTCTCAGTTTCAAGAAAAGTAGAAGCTTTTAAAACATTTTAAATGTTATATTCTGTAAGTCTTTGAAGTATTTGAAGATTACCTACCTTATTGAAATACATCTATGTATACCTAACATGACTATAAGTTTGATTATTATAGATGACTAATTATTAATCTGTATTTCTCAACTATACACTACAATCTTAAAAGAGTTGCACAAAATAGTTTAAACAAGAGTAGAAATATACATATAGTATAACAAAATTAACTTTAAATTTGTATTAATAAACTAAAATCTATAGCAATTTAAAACAAATTGCTTTTGAAAAGTAGATTCAATAATCTATACTTTCACCTATCATATTTATAACATATCACCCTTTTTTCTTTTAGAAAGATATTGACTAAGACCAATAACAATTTGTAATTAATCTCTGACAAAGACAAATATACATAATCCATTTTGGGGGAATGTGAACATAGTGTTCTAGGCTGCTTCCTGCTGATAGGGGACACTAGTAATCTTATGTGAATCCTGAGAAAATTTGAGATAATGGTCAAGTCCTGGGAAAATGGGCTATAACCTTTATTGATAGATACAATTTGTTAAGGTTTAGAAGGTCTGTCTTGATCAAATCTGATCCATATTAACCTGGAACAAATCTATAGCCTCTTGCTTCCAGTGGAAACAAAAGCAGACCCTCCTTTATCCAAGCAACATAACTTAGATGTAAATTTTGAAGTCAAGATACCTTTAAAATATAGATATTGGTTTAACTGTTTAGCCTTTACAATCAAATATCTCTCTGAAGTTAAAGGTCCCAAAGAAAATATAATCCAGACTCTCTGTGTAATTTCCATCTTTACATGGCTTATTTTTTATTACTTTTATTTTCTCTTTAAAGACTTTATTTTTTAAAACTTTCTATTTCTTTATATAGCTATCTATATTCCTTTTCTTCTCTCTTCCAAGCCTATGTACATTTTTACACACACTGTAAACTGTTTAGGGTTTATTCCATCTGAATCCATCTTATTGTGAATCTATTGCTTTAAACTGCAGAATGACTGTGGGGCATATATGGGTTGCAAAGAGGGTGCTGAGAGGAAGTTAGACAAATAGAGCTTAAGCTGTTTATGCAGAGAGTACATACAAAGGATGGTGTGGAGAGGAAGTAAGCTTGGGTTGTTTGTACAGAGATTAGATACAAATGGTGCAGAAAAAAGTTAGCTCAAGTTGTTTATGATACTAAGATCAGGAGGTGATGTCAGTGGATAAACAACTCATAAATAAGAAGATGAGTATAGAGTGACCTTTAAAATGATTGTTGGTTCATTTACCCCCTCCTAGGGTTCTGAGGTTTTCTGGTATAAAAGAGACTTACTGCCTAACAATAAATGAGTCCTTGCTTGACTTGACTCTCACTGCACCTGACTGTCTCCGCATAAGAGGGAGGCTGGGGGATGGGCTAGCAGCACGCACTTACCTTTCCTTGGTTCTAGCCCACCTCTTCACAGGTGACCTAAGTTCCTGGTGGGACAAGACCCCACAAATGACTAGGACTGAAATGGCAGCTTTGGCTGCTGGCTCTGTTCACCTCAGCTTTTCAACATGGAAGAAGTATGTTTACCCTCAGCTCTGGGGAACCATGCTCATCGCTGACTCTGTGAAACAGTGGGTCTATCCTTTCATACAGCAGTGAAGAACCCAAAAACCTTTCCTTTCCTTTCTTTTTTTTTAGTCTGTACTAGCAAAACCTATATCCACCATGCACCATGCTGCATTACTTGCAGACACCACTGTGTACAGTTCCTGGAATCTGTCATGCTACATTCAAGCCCATACAGTGTGTACCCACTGGTTTTGGCTCCCCTATTATGTGTTTAGAAGCCCTATTTAAACTCTTTTAGGCCTGATGGAAATTTGAGAGCCCCACATTGGGTGCCAAATATAGTTGGAATGTTTCCTGTGTCCTGCCTGGCCCATTGTCGGGACAAATCTCTCATCCACAGTCCCACAGCATTCTATAAAATAATCACACAGAGGCTTAATATTATTTATAATGGCTTGGTCATTAGCTCAGGCTTATTACTGACTAGCTCTTACACTTAAATTAACCCATAATTCTTATCTATGTGGCTTGGTACCTTTTCTCAGTTCTGCCTTGTCATCTTGCTTCTTCTGTGTCTGGCTGGCAACTTTTGACTCAGCCTTCCTCTTCCCAGAATTCTCCTCATCTGCTTGCCCTGTCTATACTTCCTGTCTGGCTACTGACCAATCAATGTTTTATTTATCAACCAATCAGAGCAACATATATTCACAGCATACAGAGCAGAACGACATCCCACAGCAAGCATTTATTGGTTTATAATTCCCAACAAAAGCAATCCACCTTCTTTATATTTTCCAGGTAATTCAGATCATCAGTGCAATAGACAGAGATGAGTCCATAGAAGATCACCATTTTTACTTTAATCACTCTGTGGAAGACACAAACAACTCAAGTTTTATACTAACAGACAATCAAGGTAACTCCTCATCTATAAGTATGTTTGGTGCAATCTAACATCTTTTATACCAGTGGGTTTGGAGAACTGATTATTGTTCTTGCAATACTGAAAATAAAATAAAGAGCAATGGCCAAAATGGAAAATAACTCACAATCAATTTTGAAGGACACTGATTCTGTTATTCCTCATATTTCTTCAAACTAGAAACACATTTAAAAGTCATGAGTATAAGGGTTGGAGATGTAGTTGCTTTGCATATTAAATGTAAGTCTATGAATTTGATTTATAGCTTTTTGAACTGAAATTTAAAACAGAAAGCTATCCTTCATTATAAGATACTAGAAAGTCTTATAGGCTCTCAAATATTACTATGGTAGTGACATCATAGGTCTATTGCATCTTGGACTCTATCAATTATCAATGTAAAGATGAAGAGATAATAATCTATATTTAAATACAGTGAGCTTAGCTTGACTTAATTATGACTATCTGGCAACACTAATTAGGTTACATAAACATAGTGTTTAAATCTATTCTTTACCTTTCAACACAAAGACTTTATTAACTGAATAGTAAATATTCTGAAGTTAGAATTTTTTTAAAGGCAGAATTTCTGCTTCTTCTGTGTAAAAATTATAACTTCTAAAAATGTTTTCTTTAGCTTTTTCATTAACCTTAAAGAACTTTTTGCCCACTGTATAGATATATATTTACATTTTCCTTTTCACTCAAACTTTATAAATTAGACAGTCTGGGAGTGAAATGAATGTTGTTGTCTTGTGCCTCTTAATTTGATTTTTTGGATACAAATATTATTTAGGGTAATGGGAAGATACCCTGGTTTGTTTCTGTTGCTGTAATAAAACACTGACTAAAACCAACTTGGCAAGGACAGGGTTTATTTGCTTTATAGTCCATTTTGGTGGAAGCCAGAGCAGGAACTTGAAGCAGAAAACCACAGAGGCTTACTGGCATGCTTTTTTTTCTGGCTTGTTGCACTCTCTTTCTTAGAAAGCCTAGGCTCATGTGCCTAAAGATGGCATTAGAAGCCTTGGCCCTTCTACATCTACTTACAATCAAGAAAAGCCAAGCTAATTATGGCATTTTTCTGATTGAGGTTCCCTTTTCTCCATTACATCAACTGGAAAACCAAGATTAGCTATCACAGAAGGCTACTCAACATTAAAACAAAACAAATAACAGACACAAAGACCTAGAAAAGAAAACCTCATAATATTTTGAGAGAAGAAAATTGCGTTAGTGAAAAATGTCATTCTAAGTATTGGGGATTTTGAGAGAATTTTCACATAAATGGAAGTACTCATTGTTCAGCTTCACTTGTACTTTGAAATGTTCATGAAATACATCACTAATTTCTGTTGTGTTGTTATCTTGATGAATGAATTGAGATGACAAGTAATGAAGGTATGTTTGGAATTTTACATGAAATATAACTTGGTAAAGTTACAATAAAATGAATATTCTAATAGGATTTCTCTCCAAAATTAAATTATCTCTTTTTCCAATTAGAATGTATATTATTTAAGAGCACATATTTTTGTAGTTAGGTTACTGAATATCTTACACAAATCCAGGATTTGTGAAATTAATTTGTTCTGAGGGAGTGCTGGGCACAAATAATAAAAATAAAGCTGAGAGTTCTAGTACACGTCTAATGCTTAACAACCCCTACCAGTACTGAAGCCTGAGTCAAAAACATTTCCTTTTCTTTGTACTATGCATCTTTGATATTCCCCAGGATCTTTTGGAACTGACTCAAATAATTCTTCTAACTATATAAATCATTTTTAGAACATTTCAAAATGATTTGTGACTAGATATTTTAATATAAATTTTTATTTGCCTAGGATGATTATATTGAAATGTTTTTGCCCTTAGTATTTACATAGTACATATTTAGTTTACATTGTTCAAAAAAATTGTTAACATGGATTTCTATTTTAGATAACACAGCTGCAATTCTGACAAATAGAACTGGTTTTAGCCTTAAAGAAGAGCCTGTCTTCTCCATGATCATCTTGATTGCCGATAATGGAATCCCATCTCTTACAAGCACAAACACCCTCACTATACAAGTCTGTGACTGTGGAGAAAGTAGAAGCACAGAGATGTGCACTAACAAGGGACTTCTGTTTCTCATGGGATTCAAAAAAGAAGTAATAATTGCCATCCTGGTATTCATTATGGCAATATTTGGTAAGTCATGTTGAATGCTACAAACTTTCAATTACAAAAGGAACCCTAGAAGGTAGTTATTCTCTACATGTGTTTATTATCTCTAAACACATTCAAGTTTAAAACCAAATACAGTTGGTTTTCAATTCATTGTATTTATTGTGTGATTTGATCCTTAACCACAACTTATTAAATTGGATGGTTTTCTCTATATTATATAAGTAAATAAACCAAAATTCATCACCTACCAGAATAATGAAGAATTGAAACACAGTACAAGAAATACATATTTTGTCAAGGGTTCTGTAGCAATTATTTACTGAAGCTCTGTGTCTTGAAAATACCAGTAGGCAGCACTCCGGCATCTGAACAGGGCACTATGAGCAGTACTTCAAAGACCACATTTCCAAGCATGTATTACATTGCTATTTCTAATGGTCACACGTTGTATAATACATCACATGGGCTTATTCCTGCTGTACTACAATGTTTTCCTATGTACTGCTTGAAAAACAGTGAATACATTCTTTGATGTAGCCAATCACTCTCTGCCTTTTTGAACTCATCTAACTGAGGTCATCCTGCATTAGTATTTGTGCAGCTGCCTTTTGTCATTTGAAGTAATGACTTCCAGGATCTTCCATATTGCTGCAAAGGGCAGAATGACTTTCAAAAACTATTTCTTTTATTTTTTGAGATATTAATATAGTTATATCATTTTATAAATCTCTTTCCACTTCCCATTTACCCTTCTTGCTTTTGTTCAAAATGGTGACCATTTTACATTAATTGTATATATATATATGTGTGTGTGTGTGTGTGTGTGTGTGTGTGTGTGTGTGTGTGTGTATACATGTTCTGAAATACACAAATATAACATTCTCAATCTGTATAGTTTTGCTTTCATGTGTGTTTTGATGGATGACTGTTTGGTATTTGATAACAAAGTGGTATGGGTCTTTAGTTTTAAAGTGATTAAATATTCCTATTTAACTTAAAATTAATTGAGATAGTCTATATGTTAATTTATTTGATTAAACACACAATGATTATATGTGTATCAAAATTTCAATTTTATGACTGCCTTTTATTTTATTTTGTTTTGTTTATACTTTCAGGTATACCTGTTTTTTTCAGAGAGCTTCTTTCCTGTGCTTAAGCCTCTATCTTTTAAAGAAAATCCCAATTCTGCTCCACTAAAAAGAGACATGCTCTAGACCATAAATTTAAAAAAAACTTTTATTTTTCTATTTAAAACTTAGAGGATACTTTTTGCAATAATAAAAAATGATAGTGTGGAATGTAGAAGACAGAGTATCTAAGGCACTGAATAGAAAGAAATCTCAGTAAAATCATTCTAATTTTAAGTGTTGGCTTATTATTGTTGCTTTTGTCAGAATGCAATTTGTACTCATTTTAAAGATGATAACAGTGAATTGTAAAATGTCTTAAGTGGAGTTTAAACCTGCATATTATTCATTGATTATGCCTATATTCCTTCATTTTTCTGACCTCTATACCCTGATTTCTCTTCACAAGGAACTTTACCCAAGATGATACAACTTAATTCAATGTAGAGGGCAGTCATTTTTGATGAAATACTAGACTACCAACCACACTGCCCACTCAGGTTGAAACACTATAGGGGTGGTTGTAATTTGTTCAATGTGTCTTTTTCAGACATTCAACATCTATTGTTTCTATGTCACAGCCTAACAACACAACTTTACAAAACATTGTAAAAATATAATCTTTTGGATCCAGCTTTAATTTTGCATATTATTTTCAGAGACTTTTGGAAAAACAGAAGAATCCTAAGATGTTCAATGTATTCAGATATAATTCAGCAATAACACTAACCTAAGCCTGGACTCCACAAACAACAATACACAACTTCAAGACAAAAGACATGAGACATATTTTGTTGATGGGAGGTGTGGGTCAACAAAAATTTTTGGCAGATTTTCATAAATGCTTCAATTAATATTAGAAAGTCATGTATTGGTAGCCTTCTTATTCTACTGTTTGTAGTACAGGAACTGAAATTATATGATGGCTATTTATGTAGTAACTTCAATTCTAAAATAATACATATATTCATTTTTACTTTTAATTTACTTCATTTGAAAGCACAATTATGACCAATACTTATAATTTTATATAATAGCATATGATTATTTTAATAATTTAAAATTTCTAATACTTCTAAGGATATCTTCCTCTGCAACAAAGGTCCAGAATTTATTCTTCTTAACTCATCATTTATATAATATAATACTTTTGTAAGATCATTCATGTTGTAGAGAGATTTCCCTAATTTTTAAAGGTCAGTAATTGAGGTGATCTCTGCAGGTCTTAGTCAGCAAAATGAAATGCAAACAGATGAGACTGAAAACTCAGATTGGATTGTCTTTGTCAACCTGTATCAAAACTTCTGGGGAGTCTGATACCAGGTTTTTTTATTGTCAGCAAATTTAAACACAGTATAATTTGGAATAAAAGTTTCATGGTATAATTCAATCATTGGTGCCCAAGGAAGCGTGATTACATTGGAACTTAAATCATGTTACATGTAATTTCTTCCTAGAAGAAGGGTTCCACAAATAGGCTACCTATATTAGCTGAAAGTCTGAGGAAGGATCTGATCTGATATCAGTCATACAGATGGCAAAGAAGTCATTTAGGATTTTAGCCACCTCTGGTCCTGAGTGTGGAAGCTTGGGGGGGGCGCTACAGAGTTTTTAAGAGCCATTTAGATTACTAACCACCTTTGGTCTTGTTTTGGTAATAGGAGGTTGATATTGGCTGGATCAACAGATAACATAGATCACCAGGCTGCTAATCACCTCCACTTCCTAGCTTTCTGATATAAGAATAGGTTTTACATCCAGTCCACATATGCTTAATATTCTCAGTTTTTCTGGATATGTGGGCCCTAGTAGCTTTGTGCTACACTCCCAACAAATAATATTCCACTCTCTGTACAAACACACACACACACACACACACACACACACACACACACACACACACACACACTAATACAACATAGTAATTGGATTCCATAGTCTTCTTTATCTATGATGACAATTGTTAGCGGGCACATAAAAGTTTAGCTTTCTTCAGCTCTGTTGATGTTTCAGCATTCAAGAACAATTGTCGCTCTTCCAGAGATCCAGTTTCCAGTACACCCTGTACTCCCACATGATTCACAGCTACCTGTAATTGTGTCTCCATAGAGATCTGATTCACTCTTCTGGCCTTCTCAGGTACCTGTACACAGACTTACAAAAATGCAAGCACAATATTTATACACATAAAATATAAATGAATCTTTATAAAAACTTTCAGTTATCAGTTGACATAGCCACTATATGTATAAATAATCAAATTAGTGTTTCATTTTGAGTTTTTATAAGATTCTGAGAAGTCTTTATCTCATACCTTTTTAAACCTTTTGGTAAAATTCAGCTGCAAAAATATGATGTCCTTGACTTTTCTTCTTTTTCACGGTAGACTTATTGATCCAATCTCTTTTCTTTTTAATTTGCCTGAATATTTCTCATTTCTCCTCAGTATGGTCTCAGTAGGTTATATGTTCTAGGAATTCATTTTTCCCATGTTGTCCAACTCATCAATATGTAATTGTTCACAGTGATCTTTCACAATTCCATGTTTTCTGTTATATCAGCTACACTGTCTCATTTTTCTAATTTATTTGGGTCCTGTCTCCATTTTCTACAAGAAATATTACCCACCATTTATCTCTTGGCTATAATTTTAATAAGTTCACCTCATATTTATTTCAAAGACTGCAATAGAAAATACTGAGGAGGTACATGAGATCCAAAGCCAATGGAGGATTGATTATGGTTGAAACACAAACACAACCCCCCCCCCAAATATGTGTTATATTTAGTTATTCTGTTTTTAAATTAAAAATATATTCTGAAATTGTTCAATTTCTGCATGTTTTAAAAATTATCTCCAATATAGCTACTAATCAGTAGTATGGTTCATATACTTGTTAATTTAGATTTTCTGAAACTACTGTTATATCACAAAATCCAAATGAGATTGCTGTTTGAATTGTTTTACAATTGTCTTCTCTCTTCCGGGAGATATGATGTGATGGCCTTATACTTTCTGTTTCTCACTTGTCATATTATCATTAATGATATTATATGATTTTCATAAGAATGGAGTCTACCAGTAAATATTAAGCTTTTATAACAAGGTCTGGTACATAATAAAATTGTATAAATTTGTACATATATATGCACAGTTTGTAGTCTGTTCATACTATAAATATATACAGTGAATATATATATAGTTGTCAATAAGTATATATATGTAATATATAGTAGTCTTTATAAGATATATATATATATATATATATATATATTAGTCTATAAATACTAACTTCAAAAATAATTGTGTCATGACTTTGCCTCAAAGAACATCAAATGGTTCCTTTTCAGAAATTCTATTATCATGGATCATTAGACACTACATACATTCAGTTTGGAAAATATTCTATTATTTTACTTTGTTCTTTTAAGTACTGGAATAAGAATTAACTTACATTTTGAGTTTAAAATTGAGTAAGAGACAAAACAGTTCATGCTATTTTCTTCGCACGTTCCTCTAAACCATCAGCCAGAATCATGGCTGTGCTTCAGATATCATTTTTCTTATCTTACTTATTTCCTTAGAGTCATCGAGTTTAGGGTGATTTCTTGAATTTGTGTCAAGGGCAAAGACTGCAAAATTGACACCATGCTCCATTAGTTAATTTATATTCATCTGTCCTTTTTTCACCAGGGTTTATCATTTTGATGCTGGCTATGAAGCAGCGGAGAAAGCAAATGCTTATTCCAGAGAAAAGTGAAGAATTTGGAGAGAATATATTTTGCTTTGATGATGAAGGCGGTGGAGAAGAAGATTCAGATGCCTTTGATGTTGTAGAGATGAGAAGCAACATGGTCATGAGGGAAAGAAATCCTCGGAAAAGCAAGAGCATGGAGATAAGGAGCCTGTACAGGCAGTCCCTGCAGGTTGGGCCAGACAGTGCTATATTCCGACAATTCATCCTAGAGAAGCTAGAAGAAGCAAACACAGATTCATGTGCTCCACCCTTTGACTCACTGCAGACCTTTGCTTTTGAAGGCACGGGGTCATCAAGTGGCTCCCTGAGCTCCATTGGATCCAGATCCACTGATCAGGAAGATAATTTTGATTACCTTAATGACTTAGGACCTCGTTTTAAAAGATTAGCATGTATGTTTGGTTCTGCAATGCAACCAAACAATTAAGGCTTCCCTATCTCAACAGGCAAGAAGTATATATATACATGAAATGGTAGGCTTTTGGTAGAATTACAGTCTCTGGCTTTCTGTCTAGTAGGAGCCCTTTATGTAGAACTATGATCTTTTCAAATACACACTCGTGGATATTTCCAGTTCAACACAGAGCTTGGGAGGGATAAAACTGATCATATTTTAGATAACACTGAAAGCCACCCTACAGTATCACTGAGATGATCCTCTAGAATTTTTCCACGTGATCCAATGCAAATTCTCAACAACTCAGAAGGGGAAAATAGGAAATGCACCAAATAAAGCTGTCTGCGCAGTTTCTCATCTGCCCGTTTTTTTACAACATAAGAATGAAGCCTCTATGTGTACTAAATTCCTGGTACCATGCAAAGATCAATTCTAAGACCTGGGAGAAACTTGAGCAGTTTCATAAAGAGTTACAAATATTGTTTTATATGTTAGCAGTTTTCTGATTGAGATTCTATGAATCATTTTATTTTGCAACTTTTAAATTTTTGCCAAGATTACACTTTACTACTCTGAATTTACCTATCTATGCAAAATGAATTAATCACAGCTACCCAGTAACTCACATTACTTCACTTCTTCTGAGTTTGTATAACAAAGGGAAGCAGAAGGTATTCTTAGGGACTTTTCATAGACTGATTTCCTAACTCCAAATGCCGATTCTTTTCATGAAAAACTACAATAACCAAATTCAGGTCAACATTCACTTGTGATTAAATTATTGCTTTTGTAACTCATGGAAAGTTCAGAAATTCTTAAGTATGTTCTGCTTTCTACTAAAACTGTAATAGCCAAATGACAGCAGTATTGTATTCAAATTTGAATTACTATTTACCACAGATGTTACAATCATCTGCTCTGTGTTTCACTATTGGTATAAATAAAACATGATGCCACTCTCTGCATTTCCTTTAGTTAGGAGCTTATCATGTGACTGATCACTCAGTGCCATTACTTCTTATTGAATTTGAAATCAGATGCAATGGAAACTTCTCATCATAGTACTAGGAAGGAGTAAATGCTAAGGTGTCAGACACACAACTTTAACATAAACTAGATTATTATAAGGTAATAAAACATGGTATTTTTAATTGACTTTTCAAGAATGTTTCTTATTATATCAAAATCATGATGGAGTCAAAATTGATATTTGAATATAAAATAATGCAGTGAGTACAATGTTCTTCACATTGTTTTGAATGACTATTTTTATTTAATAGTGTGTACCTTGAATTTAAGTATGTATATTTATATGAAATATTTTAAGTGATTTTGTATGTATTAGGGCAAATGAATAGTTGTATTTTTTCTTTGTATTCTGAAACTCAAACATCTATATAAAATAATAAATAAATATAAATTTGAAATTGGAATCATTTTGTTTGTGCCACAGATATCATTACCTTGTAAGAACATGAAACAATCATATTTGAAATACAACAGTTAAGACAGTAAAAGTAGATGAGACATTGCAAGCTACAATAGATCATTACATGTTAATGTAATATTGTTTTGCTCTTGGGAAAAAGGTATAGAACAGCTAGGAGGTGTTGGCATGCACCTTTAACCCCAGCACTCAGATCTCTGTGAGTTCGAAGCCAAACTGTTCTAGAGTGAGTTCCAGGACGGCCAGATCTACACAGAGAAACTCTGTCTTAAACATAAGAAAAAAAGTACAAAACAAAAATATTATCAAAAAACCCAAAACATATAATTCATATGGAGATGTATGCATTGGGAATTTATTATTCCTATCATATTGGCCTATTGCTCAATCATATATTGTACAAATTGTAAAGAATAAAATCAATCCTTTAATGGCTATTTCATAAATTTTAAAATGAGTGTAATGGAATCCTTGCTGAGGAACTGAAAAGTATGATAAACAAAGATGATTAAATACAAATAAAATAGAGTCAAGAAGGGAAAATAAACTTGGTAATCACAGCAGAGTTTTTATATATTAATCACCCTGGTCATCTGTATGAACAACTTATATATATATGATATAAATTATATAACAATGTGTTTATTGTTCATCATTAGTTACTCTGTGGAGATTTGTTAAAAACACATTGTGCTTTATATAATTATAGGATTGTAAAATGCAGGATACACTGGGAAATTTTCTAATTATATTCATAATTGTTAGTAAAGCATGTACCACTTTTAGCCATCTCAGGGAATTTTATCTAGGACTAGGGAATTTATAAACTGCTAGAAGCAATAATGGGCAATATTGTTATTGTTTATCTTCTGCTTAAACATAAGTGCTGCAAAAGTTCAGCTATCTGCCATGTTGAACACACATTACATGATTTGGAATATTTTAATAAAATCTAAATTAACATAAATAGTTATGCATATATTCTATCTTTATATTAACAATCTTTTCACTTATCTCACAATCTTACACATAAGCTTCAAATTTCCATTGTTTAAAAATAAGCAATATTTAAAGTTATTTTAAAAAGACTATAAAGAGTACTACATTTCTCAGAACATATTTTGTGCCTCTTGATATGAGTATGAATAAATTCATTTTAATTTAACTAATTGTGTGAACATTGTCTGATTTTTGTGAACCTTACTTTATAATCTGAAGTGCAGTAGCTTGTTTGTAGCTCCAAGCCAAGCAAAGTTATGAGTTTTCAATAAACAGTGACATTCCAGCTTTAGAAATACTGCAAGGACAGTAGAATCTAAGAAGAAGCTTAAATCACTCAACCAGAGAATGTTTCACATGGGTAAATACAGACATAAAGTCCTTGAGACGGGTCTCTGAAAATATAATGTATGATGCACTCTTGGAGAGACCAATCATAGGTTCAGTATCTTCCTAGAACACAAAGGCAGTAGGATTCAAAAAGCTCCAGCATATTTATAGTGATCTTAACTCTCCTCTTCCCACCACACTCTGTGCTTCAGAGGACCGTGAGCAGTGGCTACATTAGTACAGGACACACATTTTACTAACCTTGAAGAATTGATGAGGTCTTCTACAACATAGTAAATGCGTTCTTGTGAATGTTTGAAAATAACCAAGAGCTGTGGAGCATTCTAACTAATATTTGGCCCCTTTGGGTATCAGAGCAATCAATGCAAAGATATCTACAACTGAATAAAGAAAAACATTGTATTGATGATTCATTCTAGTTAAAAATTAATAAGAAGACTTTATATATTGATATCATTCAAATTCTGTATAATAAAATTCCAATAACAATTTACAATTCCATTTGTTATTTAAAACCTAAGCAAGAATTCAAATAAAATATAATTATAGTAGTCATAGAATAGGTTAGAGCATAGTAAAAGAGTTTACTCAATTTTATTCCATACACTTCTTCTATTCATATTGATATTTAAAATATGACCTATATTAGTAACTTTCACAGTATAAAATTATATAGTTCTGGTATGCATGAAGCTAGAAATGGTAACTCAAATACTTCATGACTAAAGAAGTAAGAAAATCCAAAGAATTTTAATACCATAAAGAAAGTGGAGTACCTCTCTGTACTAATTTTAAGCATTTCCATAATTTGCCTTATTTGTATGCTAGATAAATGGTCTATAAAGTTTACTTTTAATTATTTTCTGGCTTCTAACATTTTTGCTGTCTAACCTTGGGCAAATTATTTAAAACATTTTCCCATGACACCTAGATCTTTGCAATAGGAATATTAAGAATGCATGAAACTTTTGTAAAATCCAGCTGAATTTCTAATATACAAGGAATGTATGTATTATATTATACTATACCCAAAATATGTATGCATGATACACATAATGCACAGCAGATATTGCACACATTTACCTGCCTTTATTACTGAAATAATGATGATTATTACATTATTAATGTTATCTTCAGGAAGTTCTAGACATACCTCTTTATGTAGCTATCAGAATTAAAATGGATTGGGAAAAATAAGAAAATGAGTTAATTTGGGAAAATAATTTGCTTGCTTTTCTTTTCTGCTCCCTCCCATTGTTCCCCCAGCGTATTATTTCATTATTACCAAAGGAAGAAATTAATTGCTTTTGTTATGCATTATGCATGGAATTTTCTGTTTGAAAATAATTTCTCTATAACATTTATCTGTGAGAGACTGTAAAAAGTTATGTACCAACCAACCTTTTACAGCAACTTATTCTGGTATACATATTTTATAAACAAATCTCTTAAAGTAGAGTTGGTATTGTTCACTTTGCAAGTGATGGAAGAACTGACTTATGTAGGAATTGTATTAGAACTACATGAAAGAAAGGAACATAAATTTGCTAATTCATCTAAAAGTGTTTCTGGCAAATGTGTTGCCCATGTCTGACATTTATTATTCATAGTTCTCCATTTATGATTTTTTAAAAAATGTTAAATTGGAAGTCAATTGTTTTCACCTGTGACAAGACAAAAGGAAACTTTCATCCCTAAGTTAAGTTTATCCTCCCTGTTCTCTTTGAAATGCATTAGAGTACACATTGCCATGTGTTCTGAAATTTAGAAATTTCCACTATCTCTCTCATCTCTGAGCTAGTGCAGCAACTTTTAGGTAGTAGTTTAGAATGTATAACACCTCAAAATTCAGAAAATTTCTTATTATCACAAATGACATCTATGTTATTCAGGAAGACTACTCTGTAAAGTTAATTATCTATGCTATCTCTATTTAAAACTAGCACATTTTTCATAACATTAAATTGGCATGAAGAGCAATGCATCCAAATATTTGAAAATATTTTGAATTGTAATAATTATATAAATAAATGTATATTGACTATTATATATTTATTAATAATATTCTGTAACTATTGCATATCATAAAATGTCTTTTCCAATACTATAATTTACATGAGCAAAGGTCTTTTCTTTATAACATATCAGGCATTTCCATATTACTTTATATTTTTATTATTGTTAAATAGGCACTATGCTCTTAAATACAATGATATTGGTAGAACTATGAAAATTCAAGCTTGTTTTCACTTATGCTAAATAAAATGATAAATATGAAAATGCCGTTTTGTTAAGAAAATAACAAATATCAAGTATATTATACTTCTAGTATCTATTTTACATGTAGATTTAATGAGCATCTTCATGTAAATAGGTAGATATTCAAATGTATGGGGTTTTTTTTTGTTTTTTGAGATAAAGAGTCCTCTAACTAACACTGACCTTGAATTTGTTGTGTAGCTAGAAATGATCTTGCACCTCTGATCTACCTACCATCACCTACTGTTTGCTGAGAATACAGGAACATACCACACTGCTTAATTTGGGAAGTGCGGGAGATCTAATCCATATCTAATCTCTCTCTGTGTGTAGGCCAGAGTATGTTTAGACCAACAGCACAAGTCCATGTAAACTAAAGAGAAACAGACACTCCTCTGTAAAGTAGAGAGTGAGCTATGTCATGTCCAAATTCAGTATCACTCTGGCACTCACATCTGATGCTCACAGGTTTCCTCCAGTTCAGTTCCAGGGATGCCTAATTATAAGTAAATATATAATTATAATACATAATTATACATACTTTCCAAATAATTGAGAAAGTGCCTGTGTTTGAAATATATTTCAGAATTTCATAATCTTATAAATGTGTCCATTAGCTTATTTGATTAGAGAAAATAACAGTAGTTGATTAGAGAAAGTAAATTTACAAGAAAAGCTCAAGGGAATTTGTTGTTTGGTTCTGTGAATGATGCTAGTCTTGAAGCTAGGTAAGTATTTTATCAAATTAACTACATCCCCATCTCCTGAAGAGAATTTTCACTAAATGAATATTGCTGTGTCTTGTGTGAGAAAATGTTTCTCCCAGAAAACCCTCCAAACATAATTGAAGACTCAAGGGAACTTTGTCCTTGGAGCTTTGTGCAAAATTTGAAGGCAGTACAGAATGGCTGAGGGTCTCCTTCCCAGCACTTGAAACTGTTCATACAACATAGATGAGGCTTTGTGAGTCTTGCTATTTCAGCCTTTCCTTAGCCTGTAAGTTACATTAGCCCTTCTCCAACAGGGAGTACATCAGCTCAGGGCATTGACTACCTTTGTGCCAATGTCAACATTACCTGCTTGCCTGCCTCAGAAGAGGAGAAAGTAAGTAAATATTGACAGGAAACAGCACCAGCATGCACAGACTTTTATATTACGTTAGAATCCTAAGTTTTGACAATTTCCACAGATTTGTTTTTATTTTATTTTGGTTTGTTTTTTGCTTTTGTTTATAATAGTAATAAATGTCAATTAACAAATTCATTAAATATGCAGACATTGCTAGTACCAAGAGTAATAGCTTTGCTTTTATGGCTGAATCATGACAGAGTATTGGCATTTCAGATAACATAGTGCTTGCAATTGTAAAGTTCTGATATCGTGTAATGTGTTTTGTTTTTGAACAAGTGCTGTACAAGCCAGTGGAACTGTTAGATTTGAAATGAAAGAAAGATTTTGAAGGTAGAGTCTTCATTCCATGCTGATTCTTGCTTTACCACATGCTGAGCCGTTCCAAAAGCTAAGTAATACTCTTACAGCAGGTATGCCACTGCCTAGTGTAGAAGTGTGGAAGCCAGCCCCATAGTTCACTCTTCTAGTTACTTTCATACTATATATATATATATATATATATATATATATATATATATATATATATAATTCTAATTGTAACTGCTAATGGCTTTTCTTGAAGTTTGAAAGCTTAGAAGAAATGAATATACCTGAAATGGATAGTCCCTTTGAGAGACTTTGAGGGAACCACAACAACATCATCACCTTTATAAGAAATTTGGTAAGTTCTTTTTCTCTATGCTGTCCCTTAATGCAAGTAGAAATGAAATGATTCACCTTGTGGCTCTTATAATTAGCCTTTGTCCTAAGAGGTATCCCCATATTAAAGAATATCAGAATAATGATGATTTTTAAATATCATATCTATTATGGTTTACACTAGTAATTCAGCAAGGGATATTGTTTAGAAAGCTCAGGTAAGGAGAAAGAGTCCCTGGGGCAGTCTAGCATGGAGTTCATATTCTTAATATTTTCAAAAGTGACATATTATATAATTAAACTGCATAAAGAAATGTGTGACACAATACGTAGTGTTCCTTAGCCACAAACAAAAATAAAATTAAAAAGGGGAGAAATGATATGCAATGTAAATATTGGCATATTTCATTCCTTAATCAATAAATTAGAGAGTTTCACTGGAGTGGAATTTAATATTTTTAATTGGTATTTTTTAGATTTTATTATATTGTTCCATATTCTAAAAAGCCTATGTGTTTACACACAAGCCATTGTAAGGAGGAGATCACATTAGCAGATGGTAAGAATACATCTCTATGACAGGTTCATTTTAGTTTCCAGGGCACCAGTATGCAGGAAACATGAAATTCAACTGTTTATCACTCTGAATATAGTTACAGAAGAATTAACACCTACAACACTTCTGTAATGCTGAGAAAACCAAACATCTCAAAATTCCATCAGACTAAAAGTTTATATACTACTAAAGACATGGGTTGACAACATTTTAATTGCCACAGCAGGGAG